CCTGAATCATTGCATTTATTACCCGCAACACCTCAAATCAAGGGTCTACATACCTTTATACGTTGCAAGAATACTTCGCGCGACGAATTCATATTCTATTCGAAAAGACTAATACGTTTGGTTATTGAATACGCTCTCAGTTTGTTTCCCTTTAAGGCTACTACAGTGGAAACGCCTCAAGGTGTTTTATATGAAGGTAAACGTATGGCTACAAGTAAAATTTGTGGAGTCTCTATTTTGAGAGCTGGTGAAACTATGGAGCAAGCTATTTGTGATGTCTGCAAAGATATACGCATTGGGAAAATATTAATACAGACAAATAAAGAAACCGAAGAACCAGAATTGTATTATCTACGATTGCCAAAGGATATACGAGAATATAAAGTCATATTAATGGATGCTACAGTGGCCACAGGAGCAGCTGCCATGATGGCGATCCGTGTTTTGCTCGATCATGATGTTAAAGAGGAAAATATAATTTTGGCTTCATTGCTAATGGCTGAAATTGGTGTTCACAGCATAGCATATGCTTTTCCTAAGGTAACCCGCAAATATTCCCTAAAAATGATACCCACTTTTATAAAAGTTTAATTTCATTCTGTTAGGTGAAAATCGTTACATCTGCCATAGATCCAGAAATAAACGATAGATTTTACGTGATACCAGGCATAGGTAATTTTGGTGATCGTTATTTTGGCACAGAGCCCTCAGATATCTTCAACTAGATTCTTCATCGCTTTTATGTGATTCCCGACAACTTACTATTCTATGTAAAGTTCTTTGCTATATTAACGGCATGTTTCTTAGAAAAAGAAAAAAAAAGAAAAAAGAAATCATCAAAATATGTTCTATAGTATCATCTCTTTATTTGTTTTGCAATTCATAAGTGCCTCCACAACCATTGGAAAATGAAAGCCACGAAACCCATTAACAACACTGAGCCTAAACATTTCTGCTTGAGTGGTTCATTAATGCAAAGATTGCTCTTATTCCAATTCGCTGTTTGTGACGATTGACTGCAACGTGTCCAATCGGTCTCCTCATCCAACAATTCCGCACTCATGCTAAACTTTGTAGTGCCGGTGATGCGTACCCTTACTGAGGTTCCCAACAAATTTTTCCTCATAGGCAACAATACTTGTTCATAACTCTTATTATGACCGACGTAGTGTCGCTTATCGTGGGATATTTCTGTAACCAAAACATTGTATATTTCCCCCTCACGTCCCTTATAGGGATAATAACTGTTAAACAGTTCCGTTAAACGCTTTGTGCGCTTTTTCACCAAATTAGCAGGTATTCTTGACATTTTCGCCGCCGGTGTACCAGGTCTGGGGTAAAATTGATTAATAAATAAGCTAGGAAATTGGTATTTTTCGCACAAATTAATAGTTTCTTCAAAATCCTTCTCCGTTTCGCCGGGAAAACCGCAAATGATATCTGTAGCTATAGTCACTTTTGGTACTTTGGCGCGTAAAAAATCCACCACTTGCTCAAAGTCTTCACGGCAATATTCACGTTTCATATCGCCCAAGACTGCATCACTGCCGCTTTGCACAGGCACGTGAAGGAAGGAATACACTCGTGGATGCTTTAATATCTTGGCTATTTCCTCTAGGTGCTCAAGTATATATGGTGGATTTGTCATACCAACACGTAGCATACAATTCTCGGGTATAACATCAACAAGTTGCCATAATAACTCTGGTAAAGACGACCCAATATCACGCCCGTATGCACCGGTATCTTCGGAAGTTAGCCAAATCTCACAGCAACCTTCATTAAAAGACTGTTGGGCTCTTGCTATTATTTCCTCAGGCGGATAACTAGCCAAATCACCCCGAGCATGCTTAGTCTTGCAATAAGTACATTGATTTAAACAACCAGTATTTATTGGTATTATTTCAATCAAAGGATTCTTGCGAACTTTTGGTAAAGCTAAATTTGCTCCGCCTAAACGCTTTCCCTGTTGTTTTTTATTTTGGAGCAAACGCACGCTATGACCTTTCAAAGTTTCTTCCACTACCTCAACGACTCTGTCAATCTGTTGCACTCCTATCACAGAAAGACCTCGCAAATAATCAGCTTTAGGTGCTCCTTGAGGTACGCAACCGGCCACTACTACATGCTTACCATTACGCATACCATTTTCGATTTCATTGCGAAAGGTATCTTCTGAAGGGTTTTTTACAGTGCAGCTATTCAGAAGCCATAAGTCAGCTTTATCTTTCACGTCCGTTAATTGGTAACCATAGGCGGCCAGCTGTCCGGCCATATATTCGCTATCAGAATTGTTATGTGAACAGCCCCATGTCTTCACGTATACTTTTTGCGAGCCAGGAATTATACTTTGTTGAATGATCTTAGGCGTTAGCTCCTCGCTTACTTCGGCGCTAAGTTTAACGGCACTACGCTTCTTTGCTCTTACGGTAACATTCTTTTTATTCTGATATCTTTCAATTGGCTTAATATCTTCGGGAGATATCAAATCCTCAATATCGGCAATATTATTCTCCTCTAATTCCACCATATGCACGCAGTTGACTTGATAAATTCATAATATACATGGTTGATAAAAGTAGCATTTCACTCTCCGCTATCCCTATATATATTTATATTAATACCCCCGCTGTGTTATAATAACTACTATGCTTATGAAATACAATTGGTAGTTGTAACTTTTACTGAATTATTCAAATGTAAATTGAAGCAAGTATTAATCGAAAATTTCGAAGTTTTTGTAAAAATATTCTAAACAAATGGCCAATTTTTTTTTTTAAGACGGTTAACATATGTAATATGTAATATGATGAAGGCAGTTAAGAGTTCGTCTAAACCCAACCTTATATTTTCTTTTGCTGTGAACATCTCTGTTTTCGTCGTAGTTATGCATTAGAAGTCGGCTTTTCGTTGCTGAAGAAATTTGCTGGAAAGAATTTGTATTATTTAATATAAAAAAGGAGAAAATTGTGTAGAAAAGTAGATAAAAGTGCTAATTGTGGTGAGTGCATTTAATATTCATTACAAATACTTTCAAATTGTACCAAAAGTGCATAAAAGATATAAAAATTAAAAGGTGCATGTTGTTTATGAAGGCGACGCCATTTTGAAAAACTTTTAGATGTTCCAAAGAGTTAAATAAATTTCAATGTGGCATGAAAAATCGACGAAAAGGTTATAGAATTCAAAAATAATTTTTTTTGGTAGTTTTTCGTTTTACAATGTGTTGTACGCATACAAACATCAACTAATGAGGTATATGCACGAATATTCTTTTGGTTAAATAAAAAAAATGAAGCGTGGGTGAGGAAAATTATTGATGCGGTTTGTTTCTCTTAGAATTTCAGAGTGAATTTTTACCAAATAAGAAGTGCTCGTGAAGTTGTGTGAAGTAAATTAAATTCTCCTGGTAAGTTTTTATTTCCTCCAATAATCACTGTAGTAAAACGAGTTACAATTTTAACATAAAAAGACCAGGCAGGCAGCTGCTCATGAGTGATATTCGTGACGCCGCTGAACTCGATCGTATCACCATTAAAATACATAATATGAAACGTAGCGCTTCTCGCGATTCTCCATCTAGAAATCTGAATCGTTCGTCCCGTAGCCATCGTAGTTCATCAGTTGTTTTAGGTCTTATGGGTCGCGGCGGTTATGACAATGGTAGTGGTGTGCCCGGTGACTCACCTGAACGTATGTCGCCAGATCGTTTAAGACGACGTATCGGTCGATCCCCCAGTCCACGCGGACGCTATGGCGGTATGTCACCTCATCGCGATGAATATTTGCGTGGGCCTCCACCTCCGATGTCTGACAGGCCATCGTATAAAGTTTTATGTGTGAGTGCTTTGCATCCTAAAGCTTCCGATGAGTTCATTAAAGAGACATTATATCGTGAATATAAAAAATTTGGAGATTTTAGTATTCGCATATCGCATGATTTAGAAGAGCGTGTTGCGTATGTATGCTTTCGAACTGCCGAAGATGCTCGTGAAGCTAAGCATCATAAACCGCGTATTGTTTTATATGATAAAATTGCTTTAGTTGAACCTGTTTACGAATCATCTGCGCGCAATGAATATAGGTAAATAAACTTTAAGTTATTTTTTATAAGTATACGTAAATAGATTTTTATTTCTTTTAGGCCGAAAGGACGGTCGATAACGCCTCCAGATTATGATCGCTATCACTACTCGCGTTCAGCCGGCTTACCACCAGGCCCTTTAGACCATCGTCGTCCACCGCTTGATCCATACGATCGTTATGGTCCACCGCCTTTACATCCTCGGGAATATCGCGGTCCCATTCATCATGAGTATCCTTTGCCGCCACGCGGCCCTCCAATGCATCGCGGTCCGCCACATATGCATGGGCCACCTCCACATTCTTATGGCCCCCCACGACATATGGGTCCTCGTCCTCATATCCCCTATGAAAAGCCCGAAAGTAAAAAAGATAAATTTCCTAACTATTTACACCATGTTCAACCTGAAGATGACCCTTTGGCCACACGTACTTTATTTGCTGGAAATCTGGAAGTGACCATTTCCGATGATGAATTAAGGCGTATTTTTGGTAAATATGGTATTGTCGATGACATTGATATTAAGAGGCCACCACCGGGTACCGGTAATGCTTTCGCATTTGTACGCTATCAGAATTTAGACATGGCTCATCGAGCTAAAATAGAACTTTCCGGCCAATATATTGGTAAGTTTCAGTGCAAAATTGGCTACGGTAAAGTAACACCGGCTACGCGTATTTGGATTGGTGGTTTGGGTGTTTGGACTTCAGTCACTCAATTGGAACGTGAGTTTGATCGCTTTGGAGCTATAAAGAAGATAGAATATCAGAAGGGAGATACATGCGCATATATACAGTATGAGACAGTGGAAGCGGCAACAGCTGCTGTCAAGGAGATGCGAGGTTTCCCACTTGGAGGACCTGAAAGGCGTTTACGTACAGATTTTGCAGAGCTGCCAGGCACCACACCCGCCGTGGCGTCTTTCAAGCCGAAACCGCCTTATGAGGACGCTGGGGCTGCTGAATACCGACGCCCCGAATATGACTACCATTATGAAGAGACACCACATTATGCTCCTCGCGGTGGTTACTCACCGTACCCACCACGTGGCGGTTACCGTGGTCGCGGCGGCTATAGGGGACGTGGCCGTGGTGCCTATCATTATCACAACGATGTTCATCGGCCAGTTCATCCAGCAATGGCCGCTGTTGGAGCTCCACCAGTCATTCCTCCCCCTGCAGGTGCTGAGGACGAGTGGCGTCATCCTCCTGGTGAGCCGGTCTTTGAACGCGGACGTTCTGGTTCTCATGAGCTAAGGCAGGAACGTTCTCGTTCGCGTTCTCCACACAAAAGAGCACATTCGCCAGATTCCGATTCTGATTCTTCTACTAGGCGTAACAGCGGGGGTGGGGCGGCGATGTCTGCAGCCCGTACGCTCCCAGATATAGCGCGAAAGTGTTCGGTGCTTTGGCAGGGGGCCTTGATTTTAAAGAGTTCTTTATTCCCTGCTAAATTCCACCTAACTGATGGTGACGCCGACATCGTTGAATCGTTAATGCGCGATGAAGATGGCAAACATAATTTGCGAATTACTCAGCGTTTACGTCTGGATCCTCCTAAATTGGAGGACGTACAAAAACGTATAAGCTCTTCATCTTCGCATGCAATCTTTTTAGGTTTAGCTGGCTCAACTACAACAATATCGGAAGATAGTGGTGTCCAGACTCGACCATTACGTAATTTAGTTTCTTATCTTAAACAGAAGGAAGCAGCCGGTGTAATATCTTTGCTCAACAAAGAAACGGAGGCGACTGGTGTATTATACGCCTTTCCACCATGTGATTTCTCAACCGAATTATTAAAACGCACTTGCTCCAATGTTACCGAGGAAGGACTTAAAGAAGATCATTTGGTGGTGGTCGTAGTAAGAGGAAACGTTTAAACTGAAAATGTAAAAGCAATTTTGGATGTTTATTATAGGCAAGATATATTAGTCATCCGATATAATTAGAAATTAAATACCAGTTAGATCCATGTTTATTGCGGCAATATTTTGCTTTTTACAGCCGAAATCCACAGCTATAACAACTAAGGTTTACATTCGCCGTTGGAAGGGCAACTAGTGTAGTTTTTAGTTATATGTGCAAAAACTATGTCTAATCATCATTATTCCTAAGTTGTAATTGACAACATATTTGAAAAGTGTGTGAAAATCTAAGGTTTCTCTAATTTTTTTGTGCTTTGGTGTAACAAACTAAAGTGTAATACTATCCCTTAATTTTAAACATTTCGCTTACACAATTTTAATGTGAAAAAATACCATAAGTTCTTGTGGTTATAGTTGATGTTCATATTATATTAATTAATAGATTGAAAACAGCAATGTGGTGGAGTGTAGTGCAGTTTAAATAAAAATGATGAGAAAAAAGGAGAAGGGAAAACGGATTATTGTAAGGGATAATTATGTGTAAAGTGCTGCTGGATATATTTCTCCTATTAATTTTGTGTTCGAATTTTGACATCAAAACAGTTTTTATTTTGAATACATTTTGTGGATTTTAACTTTCCTCTCTCATCTCATTGAATTGAGTTCTAAGAGAGATATTGTTTCATTTCGACTATTCTCTCCTTTATTTACTTTTTTTTTTTTTTTTTTATATGTGTTTTGACGACCGCGTCATAAGAATTAGACATAATATGAATTGTGCGTGTGAGTGCGTGGGTTTAGTTTTGGATGATTGGAAAGAAAGTGTAATTGGAATAATTCTATGTAGTTTCTCTTCCTCCTTAACTCATCAAATTTTTCCTTAAGAAAAAGTGTTGTGGGAAAAACCATTTCGTGCGAATAGATTGAATTTGTTTCAATTCTCAGCTCATTCCGTGAATTCCAAATTTCCTTATGTGCTTTAAGAGAAGGTGTACTTATACATCAATTCCAATATTATTTTACACTATTATTTTTAAATGAATTTCCAATTTTTGTGTTTGTTTTTAAATTGAAAGTGAATTCGAAATTTTCAACAAAAAAAAATAAAAAGAAATGTGTCTTCAAATGTAAAATTGCTGTACTAGTGTACGTGTATCTATATGGACATTCTAAAGTCCTTGAAAGTTTAATATGTTTCCGTTTGTATGTTGTCTACGATCACTAGAGCTTTATGCAATCTCTGTTTATAATCCATAATAATTCCTCTAAAAAAATGAAGAGAGGAGAGTTGTGTTTAACTATCACTTGGTGGTGATGGATATATAATAATGTTTGAAAGAACGCTCGAAAGATATTGTTGCAGAAACTTTGAACAGACAATTCCTGTGCTTTGAAGAGGAAAAGATTAGTGAAATATTCTGGCTTTTGGACGTTGAATGCAAAGCCTGAAAGATTTTTTCAATCAAGAAACATAAGTAAAACGCATTTCTAAATATATCGCTTACAAAAACAGGCGAAAGTGAGTTCTTCATTTAGTGAGTTTAATGAGCCCCCAAAGTGCTTACTACTTACATTTGTTCTTAAAAGGGTATCATACTCGAATAGAGAAAGTGCAACAAAAATGGTTAGTGGCTTGAAATAAAGAGAAAGACTGGGCAGATTATCCATTAAAATCAAGACTTTCAAAAGAAATGAAAGGAACTTTCAGAACTGCCTTCATTTTCTTTCAAAAAATTCCCGAAATGGCCCCGAATGCATTAAGTGCCAATAATAAGAAAAAGTTTGCATAAGCAAAAATCGTGTTTTGTTTGCAAAATCAAATTAGCTTCATTATCATTATAACTCTTGTGATCCGTGTTCAAAAAGAAAAAGAAAAAAAAGCAAAAAAAAAAAGAAGTAAACAAAAAAGTTCAAGCTTCCCTTCCCTGGCTTTTTAGTGTGTTTTTTGTGTTTGACGTTGTCAATGGCGTTATTCTCTCTCTAACCAAGCTCAGAATGAATGCAAATATATTCCTAAGAGAACGTAATGTAGCATTTGTTAAAAATATTAATTGAAATTCAAAAGGAATTTTACAAAAGCTACACTGTTTTCTTAACGGATTGTCTCCACCGCTACTGTTGCTGTTATTACTGTTGTTACAATAAAGTAAAAACGAATGATAAAAAAAAAAAAAAGTATACATAATTTCTTTATCTATTTAGACTCTATATACAAAACTTTTAATGAAAATATTCCTTTAAAGAACAAACTTACTCTCAATTAATTAAAATAATCAATATAATCAATAATAATCTTTCAATAAACATTGAATCAAATTAAATGAAAAATCAAAAGCTTTAATCAGTGTTGTTTTCACATAGTGTGTACAGATAGATATATTTTTTCATTTATTTTCAAATATTTTTCAATTATTTGGTTTATCCAGCAATTTAATGATAATTAATATTCTATAAATCGGTGGTTTTATTGCGCATAAGCCTGTGTATTAGGTATTAAGCTATAAAATCTATATATTCATATTTGGTGGACTCAATCATAATATAGATAATAAAGTGTAGCGACAGCAAAAAATTTCGGTGTATCATAAACATACGATAGGTAACCGTCCTTTTCGGGGTCCCATAAAAAATTCACCAATGAATAATAACCTTGATACAGCTTTTCGCCGATGCTCACAAGAACAATATAACGATATCTGAAAGAAAAGAGTGCAGAAAGAAAGATATATATGAAACTTGGAGGTAAGTAAGTAAGTCTGAAATTTATAATTATACTATACCATACATATAAAGATGTACTTTAAATTACGAAATTTACTTCATCTTGAACTTGGATCGCGAAATGAAATCTACGGATCTCTGTGCGGTGAAAAAGAACTTTATAAAGCCTACATGTAAGTAAACGTGATATGGCATGTTGTCAGTGCAGGAACAATTTATTTAACACTAGAGCTATATTTGCACCGAAAGGCCACTTGAGTCATTTTGACCCTCTGCTTTTGTTAACTTGCCATAGCAAGCCATAAGAATGAAGGGAGGAAGTTGATATTTCGCATAAACATTCCTTTATCGACCAGGAGCCGCGATCTGTCGCGTTTACGAACTGTCTACATACACGCCTACCATAAATGAGAAACTAAAACAACCTCGAAAAAGAACGAACTCTTTCAATTTCGTCAAATCTTCTACGTAAATTTTCTTCAAATCCCTTGCATGTTTGATCCAAAAATGATCCCAATTGGTTAACTAATACGCCTACAATTAGCGATAACATTTTAATTCTAATTTATTTATTTCGATCACAGGGCTTTTCACAAAGAAATGAAAAAGATGCAGGCCGGTTGTTTCAGTTTCTTCCACACTGCAGGATCAAATCCATTTTTTAATTGGTCAAGGAATGTCCATGTCAAATTTCTAATTCCTGGCAAGTTCAACAAAAAAGGAATATGTCATCTGCAACTTGAAAATTAGGGCGCCTAGGAAAGAAGCGAATGTGGGTATTTCAAGGTCTTTCCGTTTAAATTAGAGTCACCGTTCTAATTAGTGTTAAATATAGTTTTTTTTTTTTTTTTTGACTCAACTTTTCCACGACTAGTGGCATTCATAACCTAAAACAGCTTGAAACTCGTATAATACACGTAAGTCATGTAAATCATTTTCTATTTAAGAAAAATCAAGCGTTAAGTGTCGAATTTCTTAGTCCACCTAAGCCAAACAAGGAAGGGATCTATTTTGGAATGCGTTTGTGTGTTCGATGTCTGTCGATTTGTGTTTGAAATTTTTCAGGTGCGACGGACGGATTAGAAATTTAAATAACCAGTCACTCAGCGGATGCACCCAATTCGCGTAACGCAGTTAGGGTTGGAAAGAAGAAGAACACAAGTAATTAAGTGTGAACTTTGTGCCCAATTAGTAAGTGTTATACCTCTACCGCATAAATACTCACTAAACTTTACCGCACAGAGATTTGAATCTTGGCTTGGAATCTTGTCTTACAGACATTTGCCCTCATCACCAGAAATCATTGTCATCCTTTGAAATACGTGTTGGAAACGGTCCGCATCATATACGCAGCGTATTTTTCGTTAATTAAACCGTTCGTATCTTTCTTTGTAGTTATTGTTAGAAGTTGCTAGATAGGAAATGTTTAGACAACATTTTCGCTATTTGCTGTCAAAAGTGCAGAAGTGTACTCTACATCATTTAACCCCACCACATCGTAATTACGCGAATGTGGCCTGGGAGGGCTTGCAGTACACCCGTCTTTTGTTGTACCGATCGATTATGAATCGATTTACACCTTTCTGCCCTTCTGTCTGTCTTATGTTGAACCTAAAGGACGCAATTTTTAAGGTACACCGTACAAGATCAAATCATTTTTTCAACCACTTCCTATATAACTTCTTAGTCGGAAAAGCTGTTATATAAATAACCGCATCAAGTGAAGCGGTGTATACTCTACACTCTTTTTACTTGCTTTCACTTAATAAGTTATCATAAGTCGATCTGAATGATGGCTGATACATTTATTTGAGATATGTAAATTGTCTCGATTTTTTATGTTTGCTTGATAAAGCTGAAAGGATTCCATTCCAAGATTGTCTCCCTAAACCATTTTTATTTGTTCGAATACACGCGAAGAACATTTTGTTAATAAGTATTTTAAGACTCGGATCGTTAACGAATAGTAGCAATAGAGAGCAGATGGAGATATTTTCTGTCTTTTCTTTTTATTTATATTACGTGACCTTAATGCAACCCATTTTGTCTAACAATGCTCGAATGTTTTCGAATTGTAGAAAATTAACCATTGGGATAGTAATATGCGATAACAAAAGTCGCTGAAGCATCTATGAGAGTATGTTGACTATGGTTGATTAGTAAGCAAATATGGAATCGATTTTCAAGTCCTTTCCGCGAACTTTCACATTCAGCGTAATTAAGATCGAAAACGAAAAGGCGCCACAAAGGCGTTTCTCATTAGCGGCCCTAGGTCAAGCATAAAATTGATGGTTACCCTTTCAAAATAATAGCAAAATATATGTACAACAAATATATGACCCGAAATATGTTGTGTCTAACTATCTATTATACAAATCCATTGATGAAGTTGAAGAAGAAGAACTTGCTCGAGTAGGTCTAATATGTCTAAATATATGTAAAATGCTTCTTAAAATTTTATAGCTTCGCTGAGATTGATGAATTTCTGGTGTATAGTATGTTCTATTTCGCTTTAATTGTTTTTTTCTTCACTTACCGATCAAAATTTAAATTCTTAACACGATTTTTGATTTCTTCACTGACTTCAGCGCATAAACTTAACGCAGGTTTTGGGGCGTACACGAAATCCTGAAACGTTTTATCCATTACGGTTTTTATAATTTTCTCACATACTTCTTTATTCAAGGGGACTTTCGGTTCCAAACGATACGTGGGCAAATATTTCATAACGGGCTAAAGAAAAAAAAACAGATATTAATATGATAGCCGAAATCTATTTGAATATAAAATTACTTGCCTTTGGTGAAGCCGCGACCGTAAATTTTTGAAAATTGGAAGCTCTTATTACCTTGTGCTAAAATATATGGAAGAAAATAATGCATTAAAAATATTATATATTGCAACGTATTTCTATGGTGGTTGGTATCAAAAATCATGCATGACTTAGTGAATTAAATTTTACATGTGCTGTCTTATATTACAATAATTGATTGATTGCGGAATGGATGTGTTTTCGATAGGCAGGCAATATATGCTTTATCGGCACGCAAGGAAACGTACAATATTCAAAATCAATTTATGAGCCATAAAATAGTCAATCAATCAATTAATCAATCATGTGTTAAAAAAATTTTGATCTAGAACACAAATCCAAACTGTACTCCATTAGAGTTTTGGTCGCCTTCACGTTGCTTTAAACACAATTTAAATAAACCGGTCCAATTTGCTGCCGCCATTCTGTTCTCCTCACTGGCACTTTAGGTTATAAAATTTCTTTTGAATTAAAAAAAACAAAAAGATTTTGCAACTATTTGTTGAATCAATAATTGGCAGGAATTTGCGACAAACATACATTCAAATAAAACTCATTATTAAAATTTTACTAATTTAGGCCACTTTTCGGTGGTTGATGTAAATTTCATAATAACACAATGTTGTTGATGTTGTTATTGTTGATGGTGGTGATGGTGGTGGTGTTGGTATATAAAAAAAAAAGAGTCATTCCAGATATCGTGACTTTTGCCAATACACGTGCACATACCTCCATATCCATTTTGCGAAAACTTCCGCGTAAACGTTTATCTTATTGCAGCAAAATTTTTATTCACCTTACGATAGTTTAATATACAACCGTTTCAACGTCTTGAAGTGAAGGAATTTGAAAGGAAAAAAAAAAAATCGTTTTTTGAAAAATCTAATTAGAAATATTTGAGTAGAAATGAAGTGCTAAAAATCAAACTTAAAATTAAAAAAAAAAAGGGAAAATAAATAAAAATAAAATATCAATTAAAACAAGTAGAACAGCAGTTGTCGTCTTATATTGCGTTCGGGATTTTGGACTTTTCCTGCTAAAGTAAATTTGCAATAAACGTCACTAAAAGCGGTTTCAGAGAACTTTTCAGCAGTTCAGCAGTGCCATTGACCTGCAAAACTGGTTGCCCTCCAGAATTATATCAGCTTTTTTTATACCCACCACTGTAAGGTGGGGCTACACTCATTTTATTTTTCCCTGTAACACCCATAATGAAGGTTCAGAGACCCTACGAGGTATATACTTTGATCAGCGTGAAATTCTGAGTTGATATAGCCGTGTCAGTCCGTATGTGTGGTGTGTGTTGTTGGCACTTTTTCTGGTCGCGAAAATCAAGATATCGGCCTCAGATAGAAACATTTTAAGGTTTTGAACGCAGTCTGTCGTTGAAAATGGGCCAATTGGCTAGAGCTTAAGCCCGCAGCCCGCATAAACTAAACGCAACTCTGATTTTCTCAACAACGATTTGGCGGTTTTTGCTCGTTACTCAGAGAGGTAAGAGGTAAGGTATAAAGGTAAGAAAGCTAAATTTTTCCACAATTACTGTGCGAAACACTCTACTCTTTATGTCCCAAAATGGAAAAAATGGGCCATGCCCACACAAAGTTAAAAGCGAAACTGTGTAGGGCATGTAATTGTCACATCCCCAAATTTATCATATGTCGTATGTATTTTTTTACTCGAATCTTTTGCACAGATTTCTAAGCAACGTATCTATCATGCAAAATACGAGTTGGGTATATAATACCGTTAATCGCTAATACTTCCAAATATCAAGGGATCTGAATTTTTTTTTTGACTATAAATTCTTTACCGATAACGCAATCATATTAAGTTTCGTCTATAATTACCCTTCACTTTACCCATTTTCAAAATAAATGGTTGATGTGCAAGAAATGAAAGAACAGATGAAAGGTGAACGAACAGTTTGAAGAATAGGCTTCTTCAGTTCACGTTGTAAGGTCGGATAAAAGTGTGCAAATGTGTATCAATCAATGTTTTATTCGAAACTTCCTTTTGCAATTGCACTTTTCAAAACCAAATGAAAGACCATGGACGGCTGAGATGGAAAAAAGAAAAAAGTCGTTGTCGGAGCTCATTTAATTTATTGCTATCACGTTCTTTATGGCTTATTCTGAAAAACCGCTTAATTAAAATAATCTAATTTTTGTTTTACTAATGAATCTCTCTATTCTTGACAGCTGCCGTCTCCTATTTGTTTCTCCTCACCTTCTTCTTTATAAACGTATAAGGAACCCTGAATGGTGTCCCGTAAAAAAAATATTTTTTCTGTTCCTAAGAGAGATGCTGGATATTAAGCTGCTTGTATCGCAAAAAATATGTTCTATTGAATTGCTCCTTATTTGAAGGGCGTCTACCTGGCAGGCAAAGTCTTTCAATTTTTTTGCCAAATTTGAACCAGATACCTTCATTTTTACGCCCCGACTGATAGATAGACGGATTTGCTTAAGTAGACTTACAATTTGATGCTGAGTAAGAATATGTAGATGTTTTACCGGGTCTAAGAAGCTTCCTTCCGCCCGATGCATATGTTTCGACAAAATGATCCGCGCGCAAGGTGTACACCACCACATAAAAATCGAAATCGCCAAAAGTAATTTCCTGTGTCGTGCAATATTTTCAAAAAATTTTTGATTTTCTGTCCGAGATGTAAAATTATGATATGCGGTGGCACGACAAAAGAAGTTGAAATCAAATGAGAACATTATAGCCGGTCGGCGCCGACCGTTACATACCCCATACCGCTTTGCCTAGTACAGTTGTTCGGAAATTTTAAAAATTGAAATTTTTTTCGATGTAACGACTTTTCAATATAGGACGTTATGTGGCGAGTGATCGAAATAGTGTACCGATCGAAAACATTTTCAATAGTGTTCGTCTTTGGATTAAAATACGCCGCTGTACCAAATTTCATCGAACAAATATACATGGAGAGACATCAGATAGACAAACAGGTGAAAGTGATTCTGAATCGATCGGTATAATACAAGATGGGTCTATCTTAAGCTCTTCCGGATTTTGCACATGTCCGCACTAACTTAATATATCCAGTACACCAAGCGGTGCAGAGTATAAAAATGGGATTGTTCTTAAAAAATGTACTTTACCTACTTTACCCTTTCATATTGAAGATCTTGAGAAGAAAGTCCTTTCAGATGGTTTTGAATCCCATTTCCCATGTAGCCGTTCCTGCAAAATATAAGCCTTTATGTGGAAAAATGAATTAGTTTTTAATATATTATGCTTAAAATTGCTTCATAAAAATATTAACTGCACCATATTTGGACTATGTAGATCAATTTTTTGGACGCCATCTCATATTAGAATTCTTATAGAGATTGTTATTTTCGATGGAGAAGAGTTATCACAGCATTTAGCATCATCGCAGCACAGTAGCATTGCGCAGATCGTCGTATGCGATTATAATTAGGAAGATTAGAAGAATACAAAAATAAGAAATGTATTAGTGGATTAATCTTGAAATTTCTTGAATGATACAAAAACCCCATGCAACAAATTAGCTTGCGTGCAGACCCGTTTACGTAAGTTAGAGAAAAACGATTAAAATGATTCAGTTGTAGTTACGTTGTATGTATGCGGGGAGTAAAATAATAGTAAACATTAAATATGTGAGTACGCACTTTACTTAGTAATAATCCAACTATTCAATACTCTACTCTTAAAAGTACGCAAAGATACATGACTGAGTACTCGACTTTAATCCTTAGTAAAAGTTAATGTCTTTACATATTCATCTTAAACTTAAGACCGATAACAAATGGAGATAATCCAAAACAATATGAAGCCTTACTCCGTCCCTCATTTCTGCATTTGCTCGTATATGTACCGCGTCTTCTAAGATAAGGCGGACTTTCTCAAAAACTAACACACTCTACTGGCGCCGCTACTTATTGACTGACTCTTTGGGTTGAAAGGATACATCGTACGCTAACATTCTATTCATCCCACCGTGCAACCGGCCGTGCAAAGCTGAGTCATTGCGTTGTGTTGAACGTAAATGAACGTCATGTAGCCTAATAGTACAAGTTATTTACGCCAAATGAAGGCTCATGCGGACTTATTGGCGTCGAAGGAAGCTTTTCAATTTAATAAGAAAAACAAAATTTCTGTCGGGTAGGAAATCTGTCTCTAAATAACGTTGCTATCACGGACAACCCGACTCGTCTATGGAACGCTTCTCGTCGCCATAGTCAGCACCGGTTAATCAGTGCAAATACAATCCGTTTTTGTCTGATGTGTTTTAACTCGGGCAACCATGCTACCGTGGTTGTCTGGTGGCCTTCAGGTTTCCAAAGTGGTGTCAGCTTCGCAGTTGCAGCAAAATTCTTTCGGACTTTTCTACTCGAGCGCAGTAGAAGGACAAGTTCTCTCATGTCTGTCTCATTCTGTAATTTTGACGTTCAAAAAGTACATTTTTTTGTAATTGTTGTATGCAAGTCCAATTGATTCAATTTATGCCTTGTATTCTCACATAAAACATCAGTTAATAAGTTCATAGCGTCACTAATAAAACAGCAAGCTTTAAGCAAAATTCGATTTTATTGATTAACATCATCTTTTTCAAGCGGGATGCATTCATTCGAACGCTTCTGTAACCATTCTGTGCCTTTCCAATAGAACGATCTGTCCAATCCTGTAAAACACGCTCTGGTTTCGGCGAAACATCAAATCCTATATAAACCTTCATAACCAGTCTTAAACAGTCGTAAACACTTATAAACACTTCAAAATTGAGCAGAGCTAAACATCAAAACCATGTAGGTTCATAAAGAATCAGCTCACGGTTTTCCACACCACCCTTGAGGTACCGTGGTAGACGCGTTACCAATTGTTTTGAATGGCTGACTCCTCTGTAGGCCTACACCATTATAAAGTTAACTTAAAAATATAATAATATTTACAATAAAAAAAAAAATAAATAAATAAATACAAGCCCCGTTTATACATAATATACATACATAATACATAAAAAATACATATCCACGTTCGCTGCTATGCAGCTTTATTAACATCTTGATATCCGCAAAGGTACATTAATGTAATTACTTAATTTGTATATAAAGATGACCACAAACTTACCGTTTGACCTATTTTTATTGCTTTCCCCTGAAGCGATAGGGCAGGTGTATTCAATTTCTTTTTGAACTCAAATGAAATAAAAATAAATGAATTTATTATAGATAATCATAACTAAAGATAAGCACAACTTACTTTGACATGCAGTGAATTGTGACGACACAAAAGAGGCGGTGGGCGGCGGCACATCATTCCTTTTTAATCTAAACTAAAAAATGAGAACGTAAGTAAGTAATTTATTAATATGCTTGTAATATATTTCAATTACCTTAGAATGCAGACGCGTCTTTAGTTGCTACGATACTCAAAGTGAGTGATAATCAAACCGCAAAGAGTTAAAACTAACTGAAGTATTTGCAAAACGATCTGATAATTGCATGCTGAACCATAGAAAAACAATGTTTAATGGGCTTGTGGAGATGTTACGTATTTTACGTTACGGCTGATGTTTGTCTAACCGATTCTTCCCAATTTCTCGAATATTTAACAAGCGAAAACATTATGGTGAGGCACGGCCCACAATTAAATACTCTGCAGCGCTTGACAGTTATTTATATGTTGGCTTTTCAAAATAAGCTATTATATGGGAGGTGGCCGAAACAGTGATCCGATCCGAAGCATTTTCCGAAGCAGCAGCGTTCGTCCTTGGGCTGAGACATGTCAGCGTACGAAATTTCATCAAAACACCTTTAAAAAAAATTATGTCCTATAGGTTGAACACAAGAAAACAAGACAGACAGACGGACCGATAAGATTATATTAGAATTTCTGAGTTAAATCCGTATCGATTGACATAATAGAATGCGTCTATCTTATGTCTTAAATATATCCTTGTACTACAAGTGGTGTAGGGTATAAAAATTAAAAATATTGTGAAAATTATAACTAGTGGTTAGTTTTGTTGCTGATTCTTTTATTTGAGTTTAGCATTTCCTTTATGATCTATGTTTACACATAATATTTATATTCTACTATATATATATCTATATATATATATATTTGTATATGCATATGTATATATACACATATTAGATTTATATATGCCTTTGTGTGATTGTATATATTGGTAGATAGAGGCGTATAGAGAGCATTTAACACAGACTTAATCTTTAGTGATTTTCTCATATTTCTTTTGGTTAATACTTATTAATATATAAAAGTTCGATACAAAGTATCGAAAAATCTAAAAAAAATCTTTAAAAAATTTAATAAGTTAAGACAAATAAACAAATAAGTAAAAGCAAAAACGCATGTAATTAGACCTTGCAACGACAAAAGTAAAACCTATTTCATATCCAGTCGAGTCCTATGGAAATATCCAAGTTATTTGCACTGTTACATAAGAGATGAAAATAAGCGTAACTATGTATGTAAGTAATAAGTAAACACTGCCTCTAGAGTCAGTCTAGTTCTAATATGCATAAAGAATTTGCAGATTTGGACAATCGCTGGCAGAAGCGTAAGTGCGTAAGTGCATATACTTACGAATATATAAGATATATATAATATATATAATGAGCAATATTGCCAAAAAGAGTCAGTCGAAGATTAATAATATCCTAGCAGAACCGTAAGTGGGCTGCAGAGGGTCGTAGCAGCAAAGCGGGAACTCTGTCTTGCAATTGATCGCGAACTGAAAATGATGCGAGACATTTTCTTTTAAAATATTATATAACTCACTCTTTTACCTAATTTCGGTAAGGTCGCAATGAAAGGTCGCTTGAAAGTTCCTCTAGAGATTTAAATATCAAATGTACTCCAATCGCGCTAACTGATAATATAAAATTCCCTACAAATTCAATTTGCTATAGCAAAAGCTCTTTGAAAGATATAAAGAGCAAGAGCGACCGGAACACTGACACCAGGACCCACGAACAAAGTTACAAGCAATTGATTTTTCAATTTTAACTGAATTTACATAAAAATTATAAGTTATTCGAATTAATGAAAACGTGTCGGTTAGCTAATCTGAATTATTTTTGAACTGAAACATAGGTTTAACATTAGTTTCGAAGTCTAGATTGGTACATATTGTCATAATAATAGACTACAATAGTCCCTTTGTGTGGTGTATTTGTAGATAGCTCCTGAGCGATGGGGCATTTAATTGAAAATTTATGCGGAGTTATATTTATATCTCAATTCTTACAATCTTGGCGACGGACATATGTGCAGACAATAATAAATCGTTTAAGAATCAGACACACTGATGCAAAAGCGTATGCCATTCGTTAGATGCCTAAGCCCTAGTTTTATGACAAGTCTAGCTTACTCCCTGATCAATCATACACTGGTCAAAAGTTTATGCCATTCATTAGATCTGTAAGGTCTACTTTTATGGAAAGTTTCCTTTAGTTTCTTATAAATCGTGTCGGAATCACGTTCTGATTAAAAATGTACGTTATGCGCAAGGTCGTTTATGGCAAATCTTAGCTTAGTTTCTGATAAATCATCTCAGAATCGTATTCTGATGACATATCTATGTTATGCGTTAGATCCCTAAGGCCTATTTTTATGGCAAGTCTAGATTACACTCAATATTCGGTGGTCGGTAAAACAAATAAAATTTAATTGGCATTTTTTTTTAAGTACTAATAAAAAAATAAAATAAAAAAATTCAATTAAAGCAAAATAGAAAAATAAAAATATTTATTAAAAATTTGTGTTTTTTTTTTTTTAATTTCGCTAAAAAATCCATTATTCATATATTTATTAAGATGGACACAAAACTTTTTGCGGCAGATTTATTTTTTAATTTTATTATATGCCGTTTTTCTTGTTATATGAGGTGCAGAGAAGACGAAAATACAAATACATATAAAGAATGCACACAACACACAGTTTTACACAACATTGACTTATAAGTTATATTATAATTTATATAAATTTATTACAATTGTTTAAAGACATATAAAAGAAAAAAAAAAAAAAAAAACTAAAAGTGTAGTAAAGAAATATTTGATGCTAATGGTGGGTCGTATGTTACTTTTTTTTTTCAAAAGAAAAATAGACAACTTGTGTTATTATGAGACATTTTTTTTTTTTTTTTGATTAGTGTGCTTTTTGGTGCGCAATTCCGATTATTTTTTTTCATTTCTTTTGTGTGTGTGTGTGTGTGTGAGTGTGTATGTATATGTGCATAGATATTATGTAGTTTAGTGCAGCTTAAAATTATCTTGTGATTATAAGAAGAGATTGGGATTGATTTTTTCTAATACTTATTGCATAAATCCACACACATGTATATACACACACACACGCACATGTACGCACAAAACATTTTCGCCGAAAATCTAATTGTTATTACACATGCCATATATTAATAAATAAATGATTAATTATTAATTGCACTAATAAATACATATCATGTTTGTGTATGAGTAAATTTGTAAATATTTGGTTTTTTGCTTAAGTGATCAATTTTTTCTTCAAATTTTTTTGTTTTTATTCCTTTTTTTATATTTGTAAATATTTTTTTTTTAGTCGTTCTGGTATTAAAAGCGCTAAGAACGTCGTAGAATGTTTATTTTTGTTTTTTCTTTTTAGTTTTGCTTTAAGTAATTTGGTCCAATGTTTCGTTAAATAGAATTGTATGTAATTTCCGGCGTTAATTGTTGTTGTTAGTTTTCTATTTTTTTTTCTTTGTTTTTTTTTTTTTTTTTATATTTATAAATTATAAAGCTTTAACTTTTACATTTTTCTTAGTCATTGGAACGTACTTTACGCAAAGATCCACGATTAAATTTGCAGATAGATTCGAGTAAAGCTGAACGATTCTTTTCTAGGCCATTATCTTCATTTACATCATTGTCATTACCGCCATGATGATCGTCACTGGTTGTTATATTTGGTGTAGAAGATTGCCTTTCAACATTAGCTAAAGAGGTGGATTGCCCCGGGCTGTGCTGCTGAGCGAATTGATTATGGTTGGAAGCTTGTTTCGATCGCTGATAAGCAGAGGGTGTTGGTGGTGGTGCTAAAAAATATAATATCAAATAAGTAAATGCATTTAAAAAAGTGTATATTTTGGGGAAACGAAATATTAAATTGGAAAATATAAAATTTTTTTTTTTTCTCCTTAGTTTTTGGGGAAAAAATAAATCAAGAAAAATTTATCTTTAAATCAATAAAAATAGGAAAGAAAAAGGATGTAAAAATTGTTTTTCGATAAAAGGCACAATTTTTCAAATCGTGAAAATAAAAAAAAAACTATTTTTCCAATTAAACAAAAAAAATTTTTTTGATAAAAGGCGCAATTTTTCAAATACATGAAAATAAAAAAAAAACTGTTTTTTCAATTAAACAAGAAAAATTTTTTTAAGTAAAATTTTCAATAATTTTGGTACTTTTCTTTTTTATTTTTATAGAGAAAAATGTCATTAAATACATAATATTAACAATTTTTCTTTCTTCACTTCTGGAAAAAATTTCGAAGTTAAGAACAGTTTTCCTAATTTCTTGCTGGAAAGAATGAATTTTTTTTAGAAGGGAGAGATGTTAAAATTTGTGTAGAGTTTTTATGAAAAAATTAAAAAAGAATACAAAATTATAAATTAACAATAAAAGATGTGAATTAAAAAAAAAAATTAAAATAATTGCTTTTAATTTTTTCTTGCATTTTTCTGAAGAATTCAAGATGTTTCGCAACTAATAGTAACTTTGGATTTCTGACATATGGAGTAGACTGATAATATAACCTTTCGAGCAATTTGAGCGAACTAAAGGCCGTTTTCAAGCTTGTTTCTTGAAAATTAATTATGGAATTTATTAAATTCAAATTGTTTAGAAGTGGATATGAAAATAAAGGTGTAGAAAAATCGAAAGGAAAAGTATTCGAAAGTCTGCCTTAATTGACTTGCAGTATTGTTTCCAAATCGCTCTTATAATAATAGAAACTTACATTTAAAAATTGGTTCTCTATGATCCGGCGATGTTAAAGTTGCACCCGTAGTATCACAACGTTGGAATATAATGGTCGAACTGGAACTAGCAGTTGCGCCGCTAGCAACATCCGCGTATTCTGGAACAGATCCGCTGGCCGTTGCTATTAAGGAAATGCGACCATTGTTGGCTTGTAATGATGCTTGTTGCTTAAGTTTTGATTGTTTGTGCTCAAGTTTCTAAAAGAAAATATTGTAAAAATTTCAAATTTTTAGGTTTTCTCTTCAGTGCTCTACGCTTACCGCCTTTTGTTTAGTTTTACGTTTCTCCTCTTCTGAACTCATTAGCTCTTGGACGCGTACAATGCGTTTTTGATTTTTTACCGATTTCTGTTCATCCCTTAAGCGATTTTCAGCTTTTTGTACTGCTTGTTTAATCATTTCTTTGGCATTTAATGTTAATTTAAAATGAGGTTTCAATGTGTCATCAACATTTGTTAACTGACTATGACCGGCGGCATGCTGTTCGAAAAATGTGTGATTCAACAATTGTTCTAATGTTGGTAAATTTGTTCTACAAGCGTCGCGTGATAAAATGCTTTCAAGAAGATTTTCTGAGAGACACATAAACAAGACACAATTGCTTTTCCTTAGTTTTATGACAATAAAATAAAGACTCACTTAAACTTTCTGGGCATTCAGAAATTTGTCTAACTACTGATTCCTGCAATGGATAACCTTGAGCCATTTCAAATAGAACATGGCCGAAACAATAAACATCTATGGCCTCGGGCGTATGTATTTTACTATGTTGTACAAAAAATGGACGATAAAAAGCTGGTACTCCTAATATATAGTTTTCAATGTCCAACAATTTAACGCAATCATCGATAATGACGACGTTACCGGAGTGTAAATGGCCTATGTTAAGAAGGCACAAAAATATCTTTAGAAGCTGCTAAATGCAATTTGAATTTATTATTTACCGTAAGGAAAACCCTTAGAGTGTAGGAATATTAAAGCTTCTAGGATTTGTTTGCCGTAGTTTGCCACTTGTTTCATTGATAAGGCCGTGCGCCCCTTGGGATTACCGTATTTACTTAGAAAAGTATTTTTGGGAGTGGCCATGCACAAAATATCCTTTAGGGAGCCTTGTTTATGAAATCTTGCAAATTAAAGGCAAAAAAAAAAGAATCCATGTTTTTATTAAAAAAATTTTTTATACACTAATATGCCGTTACTTACTTTCTTATGGTGAGGCATCCACTCTCATTGTGTGCTGCGTATACCACGGATTCAATGTGAGGATGCTGTAAACTTGTGACACTTTTAAATATACCTGTTAGTTCCTTCTCCTCAATATATTTATCAGGACCGTACTCCGACCATTCTAACACTAATTCACAGCCTTCTAATTTATTCAAATCAATGGAAGTTGAGAACATTGTGCCGCTACCGCTACCACTGCCATTATTACTGGCATTCGAGGCCAGAAAATGTTTGCTTTGTGAATGTGTTTGTGAGCTACTTTTAACCAACTTATTACTAGCCTTCGAATCTGGTGGCTTGGGTGTTACTTTAAAGTAATGCTTACGCAAACGCCAACCTTGTTAAACATGTCAAAATTAAGCAAAGTTAAACATTGTTAAACATTGTTAAACATGCCAAAATTAAGCCAACCTATTGCCCCAAGGGAGGTACCTAAATTCCATAAATTTTCATGCCGCAAACACAGTAAAGCATTTTGAACCGCTTGATCTATTTGAATTGCAAAAAAACTGCTATTATTTCTAATAAATGATTTTTTATTTCGATGGGTACATACCATGGAATGATTGTGAATAAGTGTCCGGATCGACAAAACGTTTCGCTGGAAGCGATGATGCCAATATTGGATTCATTAGTATGTCGTTTATGTACTGTTGCAGAGCTTGCCTTCTTTCAGCTATAAAGTCTGGACGCATATTACCAAAAAGACGTTTTCCCGGCAATGATAACGGTATACCCGATTTAATAAAATTTTTATGCAACGTGACGAAATCATTGTAACGCTTTAATAAACGCCAGCAATTCTCTTTTGAAGGACCACGTTGTAAACGCAGCAAATATTCCTATTTATAAAATCAAACGAAATTAAGTTGCAAATTTTTGCAGAAGTTGCAAAAAAATCGTATTTAAATAAAACAAAAATCTGTAACCCTTAGCGAACAAGTGTCTTTTCAGATTACTATTGTATACACATATTCATATATCTTGAACAAGTATCGTGTATATATATTATTGATTTTTCTCTTCTTCCACACCAACTAATAAATAATAGAAAGACACGTTCATATTCGTAAGACATCAAGAGTAAAAAATTTCTACAATTTTTTTTTGCGAAAGTTTAATAGCCAACTATACTATTATTCAGGTTTTTCATACGCAACGTATTTGTTTAGTTAAAGTGATGCTTGCATAAGTAACAAGTACGTTTGCTCGATCTCTTTCATTTTACCTTCACCTTTCACATTGTGTCCTATTGCCAATTATTTGATAAACACTTGTTATTTTGGATAAGATATTGCTCCTTACCGTATGTCCATTAACTTCTTGGGCGGTTTCTATGATACAGCTTATCAGTATCGTGTCGTCTATATTTTCATTGCATTGATGGTAGCGCCTCTCAAATATGGCCATGGATTGTAAATGCAAACATTTTAATATTCACTTAAATAAAAAAATAATAAAAATAATTTTCACTTAGTATGCTTAATAACTCTCTTCTTTTCAATTGTCCACATAAAAATTTAGTTTTGTTTATTAAGACCTTCTCTGCCTATAATTAAATAAAGAATTCACCACTAGATAGTATAGCTAATAAAATAGATAAAGTTAACAACATGCGACTTGTCGTTCCATTTCATTACGTTTATATCTCGCAATTTGCGTAGTCGCGTCATTCTATCTAGACTACTCTTCTTTTAAATATTTTTATTTCAATCCTACTCATCAACTCATCAACTTTACAGGTTTTTGATTTTAAAAAATCAGCAAAAGGACTTAACATTATTTAATTTTACATATTGGCTTTTAATGATTTAATGCAGCAAATAATTTAACATCCACCCACTTTTGTTCTTTCCTCGTAAAGAAGACTTTATATGCCTATTTCAACAAGAACCCGTCCATTTGATCGGTAAATTCGGCATAGTCTTAGAAATTAAGATTGAAGACTAAACTTTGGCAGAAATATTCCTTGGCGGATGGAAAATACGAGTTTAAAAAAAAGGGCGCGATCTATTCATAGCCAAACCCACAACGTAGAAAAAACTATTGCAACCTCCGAAAACACCGAAATTTTTTTTAGTGTTTTGGTTTATAGCTATTATTGTTATAAGCCCACAGATTTCATAAAATTAATAGCGGTTTACTTAACACGGAACAAATGGGTGCGCATTTCTGAAAGGCGAAGGAAACACAAAAAGCTTAATGAGCTAGCACGATACAAACTAGTAATTTCTTGAACGACTTGAAAATTAAAAAACATATAACTGCCAAATATGCCGGTTAAAAATGTTATTAATAATCAAAAATAAATGGTCAATTTGAAACTTATTTTTAACTTGTCGATTTAAAATTTCTTGTGGGTCAACCGATGATCTTGAACGTTGCTTACCGGATCGTTACCTATAATAATGAAGGACAGCAACAATCATTTCGGAAATAATTTGACATCTATATACATTTGATGCAAGTGGGTAGAAGATGGTATAGAAAACTTGCGAGTTGCTATTTAATCGGTCAACGCCATTGGTTAAAGATGATATACAAAGAATTGAGTAAATTTGAATAAATAACAAGCATAAGCATTTTCGTGAAGGTTTTTAAACTAATTAAGTTGACAATAAAATTAGACAACCTAAGAAAGTACTGTTTGATGTCAAAAATCCTTTATGAACTGGACGTGGTCGTTGGTACTACAACTTATGTTTCCTCTAGGCCTAGTCGTATTTTGAATTTTATTGTACGTTATGTGTATAATATTAGTAGCGCTTTGCAGATGGTAATGGTGTGGTTAGTAGTCATTTGTAGATGATATTTTGATCATAATTCATGCAAGTCTGGTTAACAGCGGTTTGTAGAAGCTAAGGTCTTTATGTGAAATTTTTCTTGTTTTCACTCGCCTGCAAGGTTATTGTAAAATGTCTATATTGTTTGCTTTGAAAATAAATTCAGTAAATGCTCTAAGATCTCCCATTTTTTAAAAAAAATTTCATTCTTTTCGGTCTTGCGTATGCTATTATTCATTTTCCGCTGGTGTATTTCTCTTTAAAATTTCTTCTTCTTCTTTCGTTCATTTATTGCGTACTATAAATAATCCTTTGTTGCATTTTATTATGATATACGATCTTCGTTATTTTCGACAACTGGCAACGCCAACTGTTTGCTGATGTGTTTTACAATTTTTTCTCAAATTTCTACAGTTCTCTAGTAGAATTTTTATTAACTCCTTTATTTGTATTATTTAGAACTTGTTGAGTTTAAAGCTTGACTAAACGAATAACTAAAAATCAACAATAAAAATATTTTAAATAAAATATTTGCGTGTTTCATAAATTTACTTATAAAAAAAAAAAAGACCGTAAAGACTTCGCACGAAACGAGGAACTAAGCGAAAAAAGTAGATTAACTTCCTATTTTTTTGCCCGGAATACAAAAGAAATACACCAATATTTCATCAATAATGAATATGAAAAAAAAGTGTAAAGTGGAATTATTAAAGTTAATAAAGTGAATCTTATTCCAATAGCTGTTCAAGAAATCAGAGAAATAATTCGTCATTTTATGCGCTCTGTTCTGTTCTTGCATTGACTTTGCTGGTATGTTGTTAGTGTTTGTATTTATGCTTGTGTTTGGCTGGCTGCCTGCTGTTTAAGTATTTAGCATTTTCGTTCTCTGCGCATAAAACATGAATTGCAAGCTAAAAGCAGTAAATAAAATAAAAATTTTTGAAAAGAACTGACAAAAAAAAAATATAGCAATTGGAAGATGTGTGAATAGTGTTGTTGATAGGAAGAGAAACAAGGAGAGAGAGAAAGATATAAACCACAAAGCATAACATGAAAGCAGACTTAAAAACAGTAGCATTACTTTAAATTTTATGCAAACACGTAGACACGATGTCACGTACAACTAGAAAACAAGTGATATTTAGATGGAGGTTTAAATTATAGACAAATTGTTATTAAACTTTGTAAGAAAAGAGAAATTATAAAACTTTTTTTATTGAAATTAAATTGTTTCCATTAATTATAGATTATGAGAAAAACAGAAAGCTTATTGCTTTGCTGTTCTTTAAGATCAATGTGGGTTATACTGAAAGGCAAGATTCGTTCCATTTTAATACGATTCACGTTGAAAGATAATCATTTTGGGTTTCGTCGTAAACAAAATTGTCAACAATTTTATAATTTTTTTTTTTTGCTTTCGCATTTAATATTTCTTAATTGGTAACCTTGTTATTATAGTCAACCCCGCCTAAAGCTTGTTATCAAATTACTCTTAATTAAAATTGCTAATCATCGCGAAATGCTGTAATAGGTTACAACGAACACACTTACAGAAAAAACGTTTAAAATTAATATTTCTTCAAAAAGAATTTTAGAAAATTGTTTCTTAAAGGCTTTCTACGTCCCGGTTTGTGGGGAAAATTACACAATTTTGTAAAAATTTGTATAAGAATGAAAAATAATTTTATTCCTCAATGCACAAGAATATCAATTTCATTTGAAATTTAGATTAAGCTGAGACTTAAGAAAAATTTAAATCATTGTTAGTGAGGACAAGCGTACCGTCTTCAATTTGAATTTTAAATCAGCCACGAAGTCTTGGAATTTAAAGAGGAAACATAAAAGACCAAATAGAAGTTGTATGACGCCTTTGAATTAAATGTTCGCGCTATATGTATTCGGAATGACAAAGAAATCCTTGGATTACATGCATATTATTATATTTTACTAATAATAAGGTGCAACGTACATGGTCTCCATCCAAGAAAGCGTCTTTCTTTTAGGTAATGTTAAAAAACAAATTATTGAAAATCAAGTACAGGAAAGTTTTGATTCTGCAGACACAATTCCAATTAAAAAGAAAGATCATACTTCATTGTTTTGATAGCCATCAGGCAAAGATGGCCGGCTATTTCCTCTTAGATATAGTAGCCACTACTCAGAAATAACTTTCGACGATGTTATGGGGTGTGATAAGCTTGTGACTCGGAATCGTCCGTCCGTTTAGCGAATAGAATTCATAAACTGAAACTGAAAGTTAGTTTCGCAGGTATGCAGCAAAAAGCATTCGAAAAGGAACGTTTTAGTCTTTTCTCTAGACACACATACACACGCACACACACAAACAAACATTGCTCTTAACAATTTCCACAAATATATATTAGCACCATGAAAGATTCCCGACCCACAAACTCTTATGTTCACAACTAACGAAAGAACTTTGGGATTGTTGTATAAATGCCTTTGGTAATCAAGGAGATTTGGAAGTTTTTTCTTGCAAAATCGCTCCATTTTGCCTTCTTGGGCGGGCAGTGGCGCATGTTCAGCAAATTATTCAAATTTTTTTTAATAAAAATTTTCCACATAACATAATAGCTGTAGATTTCAACAACGCCCTGAGAACCGTATAAGACATGTTTCGGCAAATTTGCACATAGCGTTTCACGCAATCAAGGCAAAAAATGAGTTATTGGAATGCAAGTTCTATAAAGTGGCTTCTTGACGTCATATCTGAATGATTTATAACCAAGATTGAATATGGTCATTGAATTGCCTTGAGACCCCTTATTTTCGTAATCCGTTGACTTCTTAATACCTTTTAAAATCCTTTTAAAATTCTATTTTTTTGAAAGAAAAAAAATCTTTTTTGTTTCCCACGTTTATTATTCATCATTATATTCATTGTCAATTGTTTCTGTTAGAAAATATTCAAATTTTCCTCATATTTTTCGTCTCCCACCCACATACAATCGCAGGCATACGCACACATTAAATCTCGTTTATAATTCATAATTATTATTAAATTTTACCCCATTAGCTCTTAAATTGAGAAAATTTTTTCGCAAAATAAAAGCAAAAACAAATATCAACAAAAATACAGGAAAGCAAAAAAAGAAAAGAAAAAAAGAAAAATTTATAATCATCTTGGGTAGAAACTTGTACACTCATCATCAACGCGTTCAAATAAAAATATTTTATTTATATCTTATATAATAATGTGGAATTTCTATGGAAATTTCTATGTGGCGAAGTAATGAATGAATCGTATGTAAATAAGGGGAAAATCCTGCATTCTAAGCTTGGTATCGATAACAATTAGAAATGCATATCAAGGAGAGAAAGACCAAGATAGATAAGTGAGAAAGAGCAGCGTTGAGCTTGTGAGAGCGACATCTACTCTCTCAATGAAGTTTTAGAAACCATTTCTTTTTTGTGGATGATAAGTGATTTCCTTTTTTTTTTAGAGCCCTTTTCGGGCAAAGAGTAAGGGCAAATAAACTTTTCAAAAACTGACTTGTAGCCCTATGTGGTCCTGGGATAGTCAGCTGGTAAACGGTTTAAGTGATTTGAGCAATGTCTGCTATATGCTTCACTTTTGCGGTAGTGGAGACTCAACAGAAAGGCACAATCGAAATGATTCCGTTTTATAGGAATGCATATATATCGTCACACCCCCATGAAAACTAGACCAGGTGTGGAAATAATGATTATAGGTATTTGAAGGACTTCTTCTGTAAATAAAAGTCAAAACAAAATTTTGGAACATTTTACGTTTTAAAACCGTTTTTTTGAAGATTGACAATTAAGAAGGATGAAAATGACGCATTCGACAATTCTGCTCCAATTAAAAAGACTACGGCCATGATCCGTTGTGCAGATTGGAATGATTTTTACAAAGATTTCATGTGCTTTAATGTTAATAATAATTATTGAAGAGTTTTGGAAACCTTAGATTCTGACCTGTAGAAATACCGTTACGTCGCAGTTTTTCTTTTTAAAAAAAAAATTATTTGAAAAAGTTTTTAATTACTTTAGTAAATTGCGCATAAATTTATATCAATAAAATGATTGAATTTTCGTCCTTCATAAGAACATGACTCTTTGGAAATTAATAATCCGTTGATTTACAAAAAGAGTGCGTCCAGCCCGAAAAACGGAATTCAAAGAACAACTTTCAAAGCAACGTTCGCCTTGACGACGAATTATCGTCCAAGAACACATCGAAGATATGAAGAAAAAGATCAGTAAAGAATATAGGTTTAATATTATATTCAAGTCCATTATTTAACTAAATAGAAAAGTGCCAAAGAGCGTTTGCAAAGCAACGGAACGTATAACAAAAAATCTAGTTAGTGTACGAAAATTTGACAGCACTACTCGTCCAGGTTTGCAAAGTGCAAAAAAAAAATAATACAATAAATCAAAATTTACTTATTTGGAACATGAATCAGTTCCAATATAAAATTGTAAGTTCTAGTTGATCACAAGATCAAGCAGATTGGTATCGTAATGGATGCAAAAATAAACAGAGCGCCAGGCAACGACAAGCTAAAGGATTTATTATATCTTCCCGCATAGCACGTGATCGGCTTTTACATGGGTCATAATTTCAACATGTATCACCTGAATAATGTGGGATTCATGCAAATGTTGTGAGGGGGCAAACAAAGCATCCCATCATGTTCTGCCCGACTGCTTGATTAATTCCCAGAATTAAATACCAAGTTTTTGGGGAAAATTTCGTAACGCCGAATACCGTAAGAAGGTCGCGGTGTTCATAAGAAATCTATAGCTAGAAGGCTAGCGATATGGGCAATGTAATGCAATCCTGACAACGCTTGGCCTGAAATTATAGTCATAGACGAGAAATTAGTTTGACATTTTTTTATACATTTACTTAGTTTGTCTGTCTCTGAATTTAAAGTCATTTTAGGAATTCGTTCTCCTAAATGTTGCGAATCAAATGACGAATTTATTGCACTACACGTGGAATGTATGGGACGTTAATGTGCAATGAGTTTTAAAAAAATTCTTCTTCTTCTGTTCGTTATTCCAATACGTAAATTAAAACTGCGTCAGCTGAGCATGAATGAGTGAGTCGTGAGTGAGCACATGTGTGTTCGTGCCTGTGTGTGTATGCGTAGATTTTTGTTGTTGGTGTTGTTAGAGCATATTTACATTATCTCATCATTGATCTTTAACGGCAGACGACAAAATATTTGTTATTATTTTTCTGTGTTAGTTAACGAAACGCCTTCGACGGTTTCTAATAATATATTAAATAAAAAAAAAAAAAATCAAAAAATAAAATAAAAAAAAAAGGAAAATTTTTTTATATGTATGTGTATGTGTGTGGGAAAACATTTTCATACATTTTCTTTGTTTTTTTCAATAATGTTAATTAAAATTATATATAAACTTAATGCGTGGATAATGGCACTTAATTAAAATAATTGAAATTAATTTCTTCATTGTAATTTTCAAATATCTTAACATTTTGGTTGATAAACAAGTGATTTGTTGTTGTTTTGTTTTGTTTTTTTTTTTTTCAGCATGACTTTTAACTGCGATTGTAAATAGTTTTACGTATTTAAATCGATGTGTGCGCGCGTGTGTGAACTTGAAATTTTATATTGACAAACTATATATAAAAAGCTATCAAAAATTATACAAATATTTTTAATTATACAATAATAAAAACAACGACGGCTTCACTGGTCTCCAAGTAGCGACAACATTAACAATATGGCGGATTCGTATTATCAGGTAAGTTATTGAATTTGAATTTGACTTTTATATTACGTGTTGTACGAACACATAATCACATTTGTCTCTATATAATCAGTTTTAAATTTTTCGTTATCTAATTTATATTTCACTGCACTGAATTTGTTAAATTTCTTGAACATAATTGGAAGAAGAATTTGCTTTCCAAAAAAAAATAAATAAATATATATATATATACATATATATATAAATCAAAATAAACGAAGACACTATAGTGAGACACGGCCGACCATTAAATACGCTACACGATGCTACAGCTAGGTTGTACAATAAGGGAAGTTCTCGAAAATCGGATTCATTTGCAATAGCGTTCATCCTTGGAACAATTCATGTCAAATTTCATCAAAAAATCTCACAAATTGTGGCCTGTAGATCCAACATAAGACAGGAAAACGTAGGGCGGACAGACAACAATAAAATGTGCGCATACATAAAATACCTTTCGAATGAACTAAATAAATTTAAACTATGGGGATATAGGTAACTATAGGCGCCATTTTCTAGTTTGGCCACGCTATGGTTTCAAACCTGACTATTTCTCCTTAGGCGTTTTTTGTTAATATATTAATTTTCAAAAAAATTTTTGAAAATAGCTATGGAAAGAAAAGTTTAAATTCCTTCACCTCATTTTTACGGTATTTTTAGATAGTTTCACGCGATGTCCACAAAAAATGTGTTCACTGTTTTCTAAGTTAGATGGAGTAGGCTTCCAAATTCGCTTATATCTTGGTTCGAGCAACTTAACAGAGCTCTGTTGTGTCGTTTACAAAGTTCTATTAAGGGAGTGGGCAAATGTCTTTGCTAGTTAAAGTGGAATTTATTTTGTTTGATATTACGATATTTTTTGTCCGAAAATATGATTTACATTTCCTGTTTTGAATTCGCTGCTTCTCTTGGAAATGATATTGTGTCGAATTTTATTTTCACTAACTAACTCTTAGAACAACTCGCCACCTCAATTAAAAAATGATTTAAATAGTAATATTATCAGTGGATACTATACCCAGCGTAATGAGCACGTTTTGAAGAGATACAGTCATGTGTTCATATGTTCTAACGATATTTGGCACACATGTTGACATAATTGTTTTTGAAATGTTGTATTATATTTCTTTCTTCGATTGCTAATCAGATCGCAGTTTTCTTGCAATACGTAGATGTAGAAACCATATGTCTATTCCATATCGACATTTTAAATCCAGACTTTTTATAAAATATTAATCACATGTTGGATGTACTCATTGCAGTATTGGTTTTGAGTTTTTAATTTTATCTACTCTTAGTTAACTGTAGTTATAACGAGTTCTTAGTCGATAAAGGTATAACACTGACCTATTGGGCATACACCAACTAGGCTGCAGCTGCTTTCCTCGATATCTTTCTCTTTTCTCACTCCTCCGCGACCGTCGTCGTATTAAACTTGTAGGAGACCATCCCCTGAGCGTTTATATAAAAAAAGAAATGGAAATCTTTAAAATCTTAACGTACAGGAGGCGGTTAATTTGGGATTTTCATTGCATCTACAAAAAACTTTCTTCCATCAACCAAATCATTTTTATATCCTACATCAGTTGTAGAAGAGGACATATTAAGTTAATGCCGATGCATATAAGAGGCAGAGGGCCTTGAGACCCTTTATTATACCGATCGATTCAAGATCATTTTCTGAATCGATCTAAGTTTCTTTGTCTGTCTGTCCCTCTGTTGTCTGTCCATGCAAATTTGTCTTCAAGTGTGCTAGGCGAAGTGGCGTAGGGTATGTAAAAAAAAGCGTTGCGGATGCTTAAGGTTCCTACCTATTTCTTAATGCTTCACGGTATATTGCAATGTTAACCCATGACATGTATTTCCACTTTGTTCCACAAAAATTGAAAACATTACCCATGCCCACCTAATAATACAGAGCATAGAAATTTAGTTTTATTTTAGTGCTCTATTACGATAAAGATGATAGGTATAAAAGATTCAATCACTACCGCGTATAATTTTCTTGTTATTCTTTCATTACTTGTTTGCATACTTTGTCGAAGTACAAGCTCGTCAGAGCTTGAGACCTGAACTTTCTGTTCGCAAAAAATGTCGATTAGAATTTCGATAAAGCAACAAAGAAATGTCGCATTTGACTTTATATCTTTCAGATTGCCTCAGTACCTCTTTAATTGGTCTGTTTTGTTCTTTGATCCTCTTTAAACGAATTCTGGAAACCTACAAAAATAACATCATGACATTCCTATTCTGCCAATATAATATGAATGGGTACTAAATCTCATAAGTTTCTCTTAGAGCGCATGTTACTTTCTTATAACTTTATACAAATTGAAATTTAAGAAAAAAGAAAAAAAATTGAAATTCTTCACAATTGCATCCTTTTTATCATCTCTTGAATGATTTTTTTTTTTTTTTCATATGAAAGAAAACTGGAGCAAATTAATAAAAATCTATTTTATCATACTATACTTATGCTTATATTAAATGACATACAAGAATATATGGCACTTATAACATAGAAATTTAAATGCATTCACTTAGATAGATATAGTGCAGAACAGAATTCTTTATTATAAATTTTTTTTGAAAAAATATTAAAATAAAATAAATTGAAAATTGTATTCGCTTGTGTTAGTGGCCAATCTCAAGCCAATATGCGAAACTAGTCTTTTGTTATCTTTGGGCGTGCCAATAGATCGATAACTGAAATTTAAATTAATGCTAAGGATTGCAAATGATAATTTTTGCTAATTATGGGCGTGGTTGATAAATTTGTATAACATATACATCTGTGCACAAATACATCTAATTTTCCTTTTACACGATAGATGCGTTCCCAAAAAGCTCGTATAAAAAATTCGTATAAAAAAATTCGTTTAAAAAAAGTTATTGGCTAAATCGAAAAGTAGGTAAAAAAATAACTGAAAAACACAATAAACAAAATTAAAATATATTTGTTAGAGTTCACTTGTAAGCAATAAATAAAAAAATGAATATTCTTTGAAAAACTAAACTAAATTACGTAAACAAGACCTTGAATCTCTACTGTATACATAATTCGGGCATAGAGTGGACATAATCTAACTGAATTGTGAAAAGCATATTTGTGAGACAAAAAAAAAGTTCATCAGAAAAGCTCATTAAAAATATTCATAAAAAAATTCATAGAATTCGTAAAAAGAAAGTAAGAGAACTTTTCTCTTTCTAACTCGCATTAAACCAAATTCGTATAAAAAGTGAATGTTTTTCTTTTTAACACGTGTTAAATCAATTTTGTGTAGATAAAGTTCGTGTAAAAAGAAAATGTTTTGATTTTTAACAGTTGTTAAAACAAATCTCGTGTAAATCAAATTCGTGTAAAAAGCGAATTTTTTTTTATAAACTTGTGTCAAATCAAATTTCGTGTAAATAAAATCGATGTAAAAGCAGAATTTAGAGTTTACGCGTATGCTGCAACAAAAAACGTCCTTTTTGATCTTCTATATTTATTCGATCACTTGCAACATTGAATTTTTGTTTTATAACATTTGTTACAAATGCAACCCTACAGAGAGTTGTTAAATTAAATAACGACATTTTGTGATTGTATAGAAGAAAGTTGGTATGCCTGAAATATTGGCATGTCTGGGGAGTTTTGTTGAGAAGTGAATAACGAAGAGAGAATTTGAAATGGGACTATCAAAATTAAATGGACTGTAGAAACGTCTTAACAAAAACATAAAAGAGAAGAGGAAATCCAAAAGATAAAAGTAATAAAAATTTGTGTACGATAAAAGCAAAAATTGTTTTAAAAAAAAACTAGTAAGAAAATTAGATTCGGTCGGTACTGACCCGTTCCCGTTTTCACGAAAAAAGACAACAAATAAGTAAAAGGATAAAATTCTCATGCCCTATAATATGGAACGGGCGCAATTGAGTATCATAGGAGTATCCATTGAAAACTTTAGGTCCATTCCAAATTCTTTTGCAAGCGATGTCTTCATTTGCGCTACGGGGAGAATGTTTGTCACAAATACTGCAAAGTTACGCAAACAGGTAGATGGGCACACGACGACGGACGGACATGTTTAGGTGCATTCATGATTTGAGACTGACCACGAATTTATATACTTTATGGGGTTTTTGGAGTTCGTTTCTGCGCGTTATGAAGGCATTGAAACAATAAATAAAATTTGCTACACTATAATATTGGGTAGGCGTGGTCAATTTTTTTCGTTTTTGTGCACAAATGCTACAGCATCGCCCCATAAAATATGGCCTCAAATTTTAGTACACTTATATTATAGTTTATACGTAATGGGCAAAGAACCAATTTTTCCCCCTCCTTTGAAAAACAGAGATGTTCTCAGTTTAGGTGGTGCTGTAGAGGTGTCCTTCAATCGATTCAATATCAATCTGCGTGCAAAAACTTTCAATGTTTCTATCAAATTTGAAGTCGGTAGCTTCATTTTCGCGGCCAGGAGTATGTTTACAACAGAAATTACACAGACGGAAAGATGGACATGCCTAAAACGATTTAGAATTTGATTTGCTGATTAATAATATATATACTTTTCAGGGTCCTTGATTCTTCTTTCTGGGTGTTGCCTCAATCCTTCGGTAATAATGATATATAATTTTTTTCTATTCAGAAGGCATGTGTGTTCATGTGAAGTTAATATTTTTTTTCTCTCAAATAATAGCTAATTAGAAAAAAGTAGTAATAATTGAAGGGAAGACGGAATAAAAGAAAGTACATTTTTTTATGATCAATAGATTTTGCGCATATTTTCACATTCAAAACTTACTAAGAGCAAAAGTTACTTGATATGTAAAATGAAAAAGTGGAGAAACAAGACGACGGGACATATGTGTTAATTGTTTTTGTTCGTAGAGGAGCCGATAATCTCTCTTGTTAAAATATCATAACCGCGATCATTTCACGAAAATGCAAATATCGCCGATAAACTAAAGCAAACACAGTGTGTGTGTAGGAGAGCATAAAATCGAAT